CCCACGCCGCCCGCGCCCGCCACCCCGGCCACCCCGCCGCCGCCGCCGTTCTCGCGGTTGCGGCTCAGCTCCGAGTCCATGCTGAAGCTCGACTCGGGCCGGCTCTCGTTCTCCAGCAGCAGCTCCTCCTCTTCCTCCTCCTCCTCCTCGTCCTCCTCCTCGGGCTCGTGGCCCAGCGACGGGTCGCTCTCGTGGTGGCGGAAGTCGCCGTCGGCCGCCTTGAGGCCCTCGCCGGCCAGCTCGCTGGTGCCGGGCTCCGGGGAGCTGGCGGCCGAGAGCCCGTCGTCGGAGCGGCCGGCCAGCGAGCCGGCCTTGTGCATGTGCGTCTTCATGTGGCGCTTGAGCTTGCTCGCCTGCGAGCACGCGTGGTCGCACAGCTGGCACTTGTAGGGCTTCTCGCCCGTGTGGCTGCGCCGGTGCACGATGAGATTGCTCTGGAACTTGAACGTCTTGCCGCAGAACTCGCACGACTTGCTCTTGGCGGGCGGCTGCGGCGGCGGCGTGCCGCCGGGGGGCATGGGCGGCAGCGGCGGCGTGCTCAGGAACGGGGACTTGGGGCTGGGCTGGAAGGGGTTCAGGAGCCGGTGCATAGGGTTGCCGCGGCCCGGCGACACGGGCGGCGGCGTGGAGCTGTTGCCCGCCAGCTCGCGGAGCCGCCGCGAGAAGTCCATGGCGGGCGAGTCGATGGCCATGGGGTTGAGGCGCATGACTCGGTCAAAGGCACTGGGGTGCTGGGCGACGAGCCCCATCTCCTCGGCGCTGAGGCGGTGCGGGTCCAGGTGGTGGCGCGGCGGCGGGCTGAAGAGCGGCGGCGTGCCGGGCAGGCGGCCCTCGCCGAAGCCCGGGTGGTCCCGCAGGATGGGGCCCGTCATGCGCAGCAGGTTGAAGGGGTTGCTGTCGCCCAGGAAATTCATGAGCGGGGACTGGGCCACGGCCTCGGGTCCGAGCGGCGGCGGGATGGTGAGCCGCGGCGTGAGCGAGCTGCTGGCCGGCCCGGGCTCCAGGTAGATGCGGAAGCCGTGCGTGTTCTGCGCGTGCTGCAGCAGGAACCACGCGCTGTTGAAGGGCTGCTTGCATGTTGTGCAAATGTAGCTGGAAGGCTCATCTTTACCTGGGGAGACACACGGACAGAAAGGCAGAGAGAGCGTGAGAAGCAGACGGGGCGCGCGCACCGCGGGGCCACTGACCTGAAGGCGCGCGCGCGGGGGGGCGGGGGAGGGCGGGCATGAAGCGAGTCCTGGATCCGCGTGGCTCCGGAAGGTGGCCCTGGAAGGCGGCCCCGGGGCGGCGGGGGGGGGCCCTTCGGAGCGGGCCAGGGCCGGCGACGTGTCGGACCCTCCGGCGGGCCAAGACCCCACCCGACTGGAGAGCTGAAGAAGCTGGCTCTGTGGGCAGGTGGCCCCGGCAAAGCCCAGATCGGCCACACGACCTCAGCAAGCACCCCCAATTCCTAGACCTCGGCTTGCTCCCCTAAAGAAAAGTTGCTCTTATCCCCATCATCTCAGAAGCCAAATGAGGCGGTGTTGTGAGAATGCCTGATGTCAACGGTAGAACAGCCGGGACACCTGCAACCATGACAGACCAAGGTTTGTCAACCAAGGCACTACTGACATTTGGACCAGGAGGATTCTGGGGTGCGGGTGGGGGGTCCTGTGCTTTGTAGAATGTTCAGCAGCATCCCTGGCCTCTACCCAGTACAAGCCAGTAGCACTCCCTCCCCCAGTTAGGAGGGTCGCAAATCTCTCCAGGCCCAACCAAATGTCCCCTGGGGGGGGCAAAACCGCAGCTCACGGCTCCCCCTCAGCTTCAGAACCAGTGATTAGGCAATATATGATCCAAGGGGGTTCTAAAAAACACAAGTCAAACTCAATTGCCTGGCAAACATTTTTTTAAAGAGAAATGGCTGATACCTCTGCATCATTTGGGATTTCAGCTATAGGAAATACGAGGGTTTCACACACCAGCATACATGCCGAAAGTACCGTCAAATTTACACATGAACATACAGGAGCAGAAGGAATTTAGCATGTTAGGAAGCCCACTGCCCTCCGATTCCCCCTCTGGCCTCACACACACCCCTACCCACCCCATGGAATCTGGCCTCCGCAGGCCCCTGGGCGGGAGGGAGCGGGGGCCGCTGACAAGCATGAAGACCTTTGCCGGAATGCTACCTGAATGGGAGAATGTCAAATCTGACGGGGCGGTCGAATGAACGGTGGCAAGTGTGGATCTGTTACATGCCGGCTCTGGTGACATCGGGACCAAATCTTAGTGGACACTTGTGGCACTGAGCCAAAAACGTTAGTCTTTGTCCATCATTGAGGCAGTCAGAAAATGGAGGCTGAACGTTTCATCCAGAACCTGTCTCGTGGCCGCCCTCCTCAACCTCCGGGGGCAGCCTGCTGCTTTTCCAGTCGGGGTTGCTCCTAATGCTCTCTATAAAGGGGCAGGTGCGGGCAGGCCCTGCTTTCTGCCATGAGATTCGCTTGCTAGCCAGGGAGGGAACAGGGAACAAGACATCACAGCCCAGATCTTGAAAAACCCCTTTTGTTTTTTCAAACTTTCCTGTACCTGGAAGGTTTTAATGCTGATGAAGTATGGTAGCCGCAGACTCCCTGGTGAAGCCAAAGCTGCAAATTAATTTCCAGACCCCAAATCAGAAGGTGACCTGAGAATACAGCAGGGTGCAGAGTGGAGAAGACCGCCCCCATCTCAGCCTCTCCCCAAAAGACCTTCCGAAATCCCGCACAGAGATTTATTTTTTGTTTTCCGTACACAAGTTATGTTTCCGGGGGCTTCACATTTAGCTGTAAAAACCAAATGACCGAAGGATCCAATGTTCACAGGCTCGGCTGGACAGCTTCAGAGGGCAGAGACCTCCCCGCCCCACTCAGGGCCTGAGGTGTCACAGAAAGGGACCAGCCCGTCCAGCAGGCAGGGTGGAGATCCTCCCAGACCCCAGAACCAACTAGGCCAGAACACCCACCTCCTTTGGAAACCAAGACAGGCTTTAGGAGTGTGGTGCCCCATAGCGATCCGTTCACTCCCGGCTCCTAGTCTGTGTCTGCGTGTTTGGTGGTATGGAGACCAGTGGGCGGCGGGGGGGAAGGACAGAGAGGAAAAAAGAATTGTGAGGTTCGGCTTCACTCTGCTTTTGCTAACAGCTCAAGGAGAACTTCTGAGGCAATTTTCTTTCTCCGGTGTACCCAGTCTGTCTGGGCAATTCAGTTCCCCACGCTGGAGTCCCCGAGGGGAATTTTCCCCGCCTGGAAAACGACAGGGAGGCCTCCCAAGGCCCTGGGCTGCCATGTTTCTCATGGGGCGCCCGCTGTACGGTGGTACCAACCGTGGGCCTTCCCTTCCGGCACACCCCTCAGCTGGCAGAGAAAACACCTCCTATCTAGCTGATTAGTTAATGGACTTGGGCGAACGGAGCCCTCTGCCTCAGACTGCCGCACAAGAGAGCTGGCCAGAAACCACAATATTTAGAGTCCTCTTCAAATCCTCTTCTAAAGCAAGGCAGAATAAATATGTAATAAATAACAAGAGGATAAATAAAATGTCCCTTTCTGACACAGGAGCTAATAACACAAATGAAGTGCCACATCCTACAAGGTCGTAGATCTTCAAATTAAAGAGCGTTTCTGTACCCTTCACCTTGGCTTTTGGAAACTCTAATTAATCGATTTATGGTACACAGCTGCTCGGGTTCTTCATTTTTTAAGTGGGACCCCACCCCCTTTTCCCCAATCTCTTTGTTCATCATCTTCATCTCCTTGGGCTTCAACTCCAGAGCATTTCCTGTTTCTTGTTCTGTTGGCCACATATTTTCTAGAAAGTTCTACTGCTGGTGAGGAATGCGGATATCAGAAGAAAATGCAGAATTCCCCGGCAGGCCAGGAATAAAGAATCCTCTTCAGCCGAAATGGCCGATTAAAACATTTTTTTAACTCAAAATGGCAGCTGCTGGGAAGCCTGTAGCTACATGTTCTAAAGAGCTCAGATGTTTCCACTTCTTGTTTAAAAAAAAAAAAGAAGAAGGAAAAAATGAAAAAAAAAAAAGACACTTCTAAAACTCTGGAGCAGCCAACGGAGGAAGTTACCTGTCCGTAATTCACCCTCAGGTGGGGAAGAGCTATGTGTCCATCAAATAGGATCTCAGAGCCACTGCTCATGCCGGGGTGAGCTCTTTCTTTTCCCACACCCCCGAACTGCTTTGGTTCCCAAACTGTCCTCGCACGATGGCCAGATTCACTGCAGGCGACGATCCCAGGATCTGACAGCTTCTGACTTTTTTTAAATCTCACAGCCCTCAAAGGCCCTCCCTAGACAACTCTCTTTCCACTCTCCCCCAGCTTTTTTTTTTTTTTTCCCTTAATGAAATGTTCATTTCCATATTACCACTTCATGGTTCTCTCTTGCCTAGAAGTAGCCTTGAGCACTAGGGCTGCTCACTTTTAACAAGTGAACAATGTCAGAAGTCTTTGAAGAGCCACTCAGAACATTTTTCTATTCAAAAACTCACTAAATATTTTACACTCACAGCACACCATTCACGGACAGCTCATTTTTAAATGCAATGGAAGACCCCTGGCGAGAGGGTTGGCCCCCTCCCCGTCCCAGGACCGGAGGTCACCCCCTCCTCAAGCTCAGGGCCACCTGCCCAGAGGTAAGCTGGCAGCTCCACGAGGAGACCACTTAGCCAGCGACCCAGACAGGATCCACTCCCACCACGCGCCCCGCGTCGCTGCTGAGGTGCCACGTGATCGGTGGATGCCTAGAATATTTTGAAGTGACGTACCAGCAACATCAAACCCGGCCTACAGACCTAGAAATGTCAGCTGTGCTTCGATCACGAAATCAGGCTTGGCAGCTCAGAACCCAGGGCCCGTGTCTGTCCTTGCTTGCTTGCTTGCTTCCTTCCTCAGACGCTTTTACTCTCAGTTGGCAGAAACCCAGACTGGATCTTCTTTGCTCTCCTGGCTCTAAAGGGAGTCCTTACGATTTTCTCAACCTGGAAACCCTCCCTGCCGTCTCTAGTTACGAGGGCCTGGGCGACCCTACCTCTGCCTTGATGTTCCCAGCACGGTGAAGTCACTCAAATCACAACCTCTTTGGGCCTCGATTTCTACATCAGTAGAATGGGAATAAGATACCTGCCTTTAAAGACGGCTGGGGGTACCCAGTGAGATCCTGCATGGGGACACACACTGTACATCGAGCATGACGCAGGTGTTACGAGTGGGGCTTTGTAGGTTTCGGTGTATAGTATCCATCCTTGAACCTGGCGGTGCATGTTTAAATCTGGCAGTAATAAAACCCACCAGGAATTTTCATGCAGCCTGCCTCAAGCATGAGAGGCTCCAGGGAAGTGAAAACCTGTTCACAGTGAGGAAACATCATTTCTTACAGTGATGCTTGGGGACCGACCGGCAACTGGACCCTCCTGCAACGGATGAGTCTCCCTCCACCATGAGGGGTTGTTCCTTTTTTTTTTTTAATGAGCATTTAAATAATTGTTCTTCCTTATTATGCTGGTTACTCTAATAATACCAATAAAGGTATCAGGGATGTTCAATAAAAAACACACCTTTGAGTAATTATTCAATGAAAAAGCCACAGCTGAGCACGCTAGTTTAACGGGTCTTTCCAAAGGCCAAGTGACACCATGAGGAAGGGCGCTCGTGCCTACAGGAGAGGAGCGGTCCGCTGCTGCTCAGAGGGGGCAGCGAGGATGCCCCCCCCACCCCCCAGCTCACGCAGGGCCACAGGTGAGATCCCGCCCGGGCCGTTCTCCAAAGCTGGGCAAAATTAGAATCGGCACCCTTGGACTCTGACCTAAGAACCGGGTCTTGGCTTCACACAGCCCTCCACAGTTTGCAAAGTGCTCCGTAGCTGGTTTAGCGTTTTTGCCAGCATTAGCGCCTTTCGTCGTTCCTCACCCCGCCTCTGAGGAAGGCCAGGCAAGGGCTGCATCCCTGCTGGTGCATATGAGGGAATGGAAGCTCAGGGAAGCAAGCGGAGAGAGCCCCGTAGCCAGCAGGGAGAGGGCCGCGGCCCTCCTCAGGCTTCCCGGCCCCAGGTTCGCGCCCCGCCGGCTCTCCAGCGCTC